TATGGATGCTCTTCCAAAGGTATGTACAGTCGACCCCCCTATAACACTGTAGATAATTCCGTGTTATATGAATTCCATGTTGTACGAGTCACTTAGATTTTACAAATACGTGTGTCGGGCTGTGAACGGCTTACGTATTTGTAAAATCTAAGTGACTCGTACAACATGAAATTCGTATAACACGGAATTATCTACAGTGTTATAGGGGGGGTCTACTGTAAATGTAAACTGCTTATATTTATATTATACGTTACCACTGATAATGAAAATTTGTATTTATCTTACAGATTTTACAAATAATTCTCTCTTAAAACAAGATTTCATCTCTCATTATGGCTGCATGCAAAAATAAAAAGTTTAATTGTATAAATGTAAAATTATCTACGGCTTTTCGATATTTGGGATACCACGTTGCACAACATCCCTTAAGGTTCATAATTATTCCCGTTATCGTTACTGTCCTCTCATGCTTCGGATTATTTCGTTTTAAGATGACAACAGACGTCGAATATCTACACTTTAGAAGAAACAGTCGAATTACAATGGCAAAGCCAATTGTCGAAACTTTGTATCCCCAAAACTATACAGATTATGATATTCTACGACTGACGAAAATGGAAAAATACGGAGCTGTCATAGCAACTGCAAAAAGGGGAGAATCTATGTTATTAAATGAAATCTTTAACGAATTACACATACTGGATCAAACAATACGTAATATGAGTATTGTATGGAAGAGAAAAAGTTACAGATTTGCTGATATTTGTTGTAAAATTGAAGGACAATGTATTGAAAACGACGTATTAAATTTGAAGACGAAAATTACGGAATTTCAGAAAGGAAACTTTAAAATAAGGTATGAATGTCTTTTATAATTCATTTATAAAACTAGTCAAATAGATGATCCTATAGTACTTTAATCAAAATTAAGTATATTAGCATTAGAATCAAAGGTGGTTAAAGATATTTAAGATCTTAAACACGTTAATATATCTTCAGTAAAGTGGGTATTAATTTAAGTGTTTTAAATTATATATTACAAAACAAAATGTTATTTTGCAGGTATCCAGTTAATATCAATTCAGAATCGTCAAAAGTTCAAATTTATACAATAGGATTAGGTGGTGTAACGACAGACGAACACAGTTTAGTGAAAGACTTCAAAGCAATTCGTTTGATATATTTCATTGACAACGGCAATCACACGAATGAAATTTCTACGTTGTGGGAAGAAAATTTTCTGAAATTATTAAATGAAGTAAAACTGGAATATGTTAAATTCTCCGTGTTTACAGGAAAAACTAATGAAGAGGAATTTAATAAATTAACAATATATAATATTCCGATCTTTATCATATCGCAAATTTTTCTGTGTTCTTTCTCCGTTTTCACTTGCATGACTAGAAGCTGCGTAACAAGTAAGCCTTGGATTGGTATTGCTGCATACTCAGCATCGATTCTTGGTACTGTAGCTGCTTTTGGTTTTCTTTTATTGTTTGGTACAGAATATACAGATCTGAATATAGTCATTCCCATCATTGTTGTAGGTCTGTATTTTTCATTATATCTTCTAACAATTATATATATATATATTTAACAATAGCACACTAAATATGATCTTTTTTGTTGTATATAGGAATAGGTTTGGACGATTCGTTCGTCATACTATCAGCTTGGAGAAAAACTAACCCAGAAGATAGTATGAAGAAGCGAATAGGTGATGCGTATTCTGAATCTGCCACTTCAATTACAATAACTACATTGACAAATATCGCTGCATCGTTAATTGGATTCGCAACTCCATATAGATGTATTAGAATAATATTTACATATATGGCAGTTAGTTTTATATTTACTTACTTGTATCAGTTGTCGTTTTTCGGTGGATGTCTGGTACTTAGTGGATACAGAGAAAGTAAAAATCTCCATGCCGTATATTGTGCACCTGTGAAATGGGATAGGACTTCAGGTAATAAGACTTTGTAAAATTACTTTTATGCAATTAAATTAAAATGTGTAAGAATATTATTTATATACAATATAATGAACATATTACAATAAATTAATATAAAGTGTGTTACTCTATTGAAACATTGTGTTTGCGACTCTATTGAAAGTTTGCAGCAAAGATGGCGAGATGTAATTGGTGATTACTATGTCTAAACAGCAATTATTGTTTCGTTAATCATCAATGTAATTGTTATCAAAATATTAAATTTCATCTTAACAATCTGATATTGTAAATTTATTTATTAACATGTATATACATAGTGCATTAAATTAACAAGAAATACTTTATTTGCAGGTTTGAAAAGAATTTTCACTGTAGGATTTTCAACTCAAAAACAATTTAATTCAGAAAACAAAAAATGGAACTTTTACAGCGACGAATTGGGTAGAATATTGAATTACAAAATTACCAAATGCATTGTTATGATCTGTTTCATTATATACATCTCATTCGGAATATATCTTATGAAGTTCATAAAACTCGATTTAAAACATTCTGATTTATACCAGAAAAATTCTTACGCTTACAACTTTGTCCAGGACGATTACCAATACTTTTCCGAATACAGAGAAAGAATACAAGTTGTAATCGATACACCGTTGGATTACTCGAACCCAGAAACACAACAGCAACTAGAAGATCTGACGATTCAGTTAGAAAATGCTCCCAATATGAGTGGATATAATATGACTGAATCGTGGCTGAGGACTTACGTAAAGTTTATTAAAGATCCACTTTCTTGGATCTCGCTCAGCGGATACAACATAAGCAATCCGGAAGATTTCGTCGAAGCCCTTCATAATGTATTTCTCAAATTTCATTTTGCCAAACGTTTCCAAAGAGATATTGTATTCGACGAAGACAAGAAAAACGTAATTGCTTCTAGATTTTTTGTCAACTCGAGGACTATTGACAGTTCTGCTAAGCAAAGTGAACTTCTTCAACATCTCTATAACGTGATGGATTCTTCCGGCTTAAATGCAATGATCTATAATTACGATTTACTGTTTGCTGACTCATTTGTAAATGTTTTATCTTACTTAACTCAATCCGTTTGTGTGAGTAGTGTAGCAGTAATCATCGTGTTTCTTATATTTATTCCAAATTTGCATTGTGCATTTTGTATTTGTTTCAGTGTATTATCTATTGTGACTTCAACAATTACTTACTCTTCAGCGTGGGGTGTAAATTTGAATTCACCTCTTACACTTGTATTAGTTCTCATTGCTGGGTTTAGTGTGGATTACGTATCTCATATATCGTGCAGTTATATGTGTAGTAAAGCAGACAAACCTGAAGAAAGAATGAAAGGAGCTTTACGGATTGCAGGACATCCTATTATTCAAGCTGCCGGTTCGACTGTTTTAGGAATTTCTGCTGTAAGCTTTTCTTCTTATCGTATACTTTTGGACATATTTAAGATTATATTTTTGGTTATATTGTTTTCTACGTTACATGCCATTATTTTGTTGCCCGTGCTTCTTAACATCTGGGATAATATTGTTTTAATTATCAAACGAAAGAATTCTACAAAAGAGGAATATATCTCTGATACTTCAAATGTCCTATTACACTTACGTGATAATGCATAATATAATTTCTAATTTCGTCTGAAAACGAATTATATTTATTGTATAAAATAATGTATGAAAGATGTACGTTATTTATAAATTGTGTTATCATTTTCCTCTCCAGAATGTTAATGAATTTAAGAAAAACTGTCTGGACTTTTATGAAACTTGAACTGGACGTTAAGGCGATCAGGAAGTGTGATAATTTTCAATTATACTACGATATAAAATTTAAATAAAAGCTTAAAATGATTTAAAAAATATAACCTACATTAGTCTATTTATATACAACTCAAGAATATAATTTAAGTACAGTAGATTTATTAACCAGTTGCCACGATTACATAATGTCACTGTCTTTTCCTTTCATTTTTTAAAACAAATTAAGAATTAACGTGTGTTTTTTGTTCTTCATAATGGAAATTTCTTAGACTTTCAGATAAGGAAATTTTCAATAATAGACAAAGCTACTAGAAAGGATTTTATAATAATAGACTATACAACAACACTCCTAATCTGAAAGGGAAAGCTGCATTTACAGACGTTCTCAGTTAATAAGTTAGGATCTCAAACGAAATACATTTATGTCTGGATGTTATACAATTATATAATAGCATCCTGATAAAACTATAGATAATTTAACATGTTCTATAGGAATTCTCGTTGACCCTTCTTTTCTGTGACCTTTCAGGCAAAAGGTGGTGGTACAATTCCTGCCTACGGTTAGTGTTGGTTACATACAGAAAGTTTCCGTTGTTTTTTGTTGTTTTACTAATTAATTTCTATTCGTCTACTATCAGTCCTGTAATAAAAAAAATCCAACAAAGAGTTGCTCAACTTTCCCGGCAACATTTAAATTTTTGGTTACTCCATCTGTTATCATATTTTGTTCAAAAAATTTTTATTATTATTTTTAAGGCAAAAAAAAACTTAATTTTGAGGGCAGGGACGAGTTTTATTTTAAAATGTGATTGCTAATAATGAATGAGAGGAGCCGACATCATTCTCCTTTCGGACATCCAACCGGCGGGGATTAATACAACTTTTTGTATCTTATTTAGTAATAAATTTCCTTATAACTGGCTTCATGTTTAAAATTTTCTTAAATCATTTCTTAATTTACAAAGTTTTATCGAAATCATCCATTAAATTTAACAAGTTTGATAAAGTACCAAAAATAAAAAGGAGGAAACGGAAAGTTTCAACTAAATTGATGCTTTTCCTGCAGACAATTATTATAGAAATAATATAAATTACAATGAAATTATTATTAAGTTGCTTGACTACTTACGACACAATCGTAGAAAATTTGAAATTATTTTTGTATATTCAGTACAAAGGTATAACGTTAAGGAAACACAGAATTTAGTTATCGTTCCATTGTTTGAAGGTAAAGAATTTTTAGTTGCTTACAGAAAATATTTTATTAGCAAATTCTATTATGAAGAAGAACGTTTCGATTATACCCTGAATTTTAATTCATTTAGAAAATTTCCTATTTAATGAAGACAAACGAGAGTCTCCGGCATAGGTGAATACAAAGCAAGTAATTATGTATATTTTTCCTATTTTTAACCTTTCTTCTCCGAAGATACAAACAGAAAACAGGTTATACGTTTGAAAATATATATTGCAAGTAAAATTCTAGAATTTATTTACCGAATTGAATCGTAAAAAATATACAATTTTTCTTCTTTTATTAAGTTATTATATATATATAGATAAGATTTCGTCATACGTTACTTGAAATAATATATTATACTTTAACAAGTGATTTAAAAAGCCGTATTTTCCTTTCGTAGATTTAAAAGTCTATTTAATATTCATTAAATATTAATTAATTAAGTTCTGCAGAGCGGTTCCTGGAATGATTGTTCGAAGAAGTTTTCTCATTAAAAAAACTGTAAAACATATTTTCTTCGTGTTTATTTAAAGTGTTTTTATTGCGATGTCTTTGAAAATACAATACGCTATTCAGGTAAAATGTATAGGTATTAAATATTAGTATTTTTAGTATAATATACGTAATATTATCATGTAAAGGTATATCATAGACACTTGTATTATCTAAAAGGTCGTAGACTTATAAAAAAATCACATAAAATGAACAAATTGGCATATTACAGTGAGGCTTGCACCAGAAGGCTTATCATGGAGGCGGATTTTTTTTTTGACAGAGGAAAAGATATTAGTTTAAATTTTTACCGATAAAAGACGTTAATATTATCATACAATCAAAAGAGTATGAGGAAGTTATATTTATTTATTTTCATTCGTGAGCATGCTACAACAGTTGTTCAATGTTCTCGTCAACACAACCGACGACATTGCGTAAGCAATGTCGTTTTAATATACCTATTGATAAGATTACTATGGATTTAATAGCTAATGTAGACAAAAGCATAAAAGACCAATAAAGAAGGAAAAGAAAACTAATTTAATTAACTCAGTCATCCATGACATGAAACATAGAACCCCCAAAAAATAAATTTAAAGTAAATAGATATAAAACAAATTTAAATAGAACCATAAAGTTTTTAAAAACTAATAACCTTTCTATCATAAAAGCTGATAAAACAAAACAACTCATAATAATAACTAATAAAGAATTAGAAGATAAAAGTAAAGAACAAATTAACAATAAACAATATATAAAGTTAGTTGATAACCCATATGAGAAAATAAGAAAAAGTTTAACGAAAATAATAAAAGACATATTCAAAAAGCAATATCAGTGAAATAGATAAAAATAATATACTTAACTTCAGTAATAATAGAACCCCCAAATTACATATACGGTTAAAAATACACAAAAAAGAAGAAAAATATAGACCTATTGTTGATTTCAGATACTCGATACTATACAATTTAGAAAATTATATTAAAAAACAATTAAAAAACATTGATAATTCTAAATATAGCATTAAAATGCTGAAGTAATTAACATTATTCAAAAGATCAAAAAAGAAAAAAACAGACACATTAATCAGTCTAGATGTAAAAAAATATTGAAAATATTTTCCTAACATAAATTGGAAATTAGTAAAAAAACAGCCATATACAATTAAAAATAAATAAAACCTTAATAGACCTAATAGAATTTGCGTATAAAAGAAATTATTTTGTATTATATGATAATTTTTATACACAAGCCGATGGGGTTAGTATGGGGTCAAAGATGGGGCCAAAACTTGCTGAATTAGTAATGAAAGAAGTGGACGAAAAAATACAAAACATCCCAGGTGTAAAAACAGTAATGAGGTATGTAGATGTTTATTTAGTCATATTTAATAATCAAATAACAAATGATAAAACAATTCTCAATACAGTAAATAAATATAAATGAAAACATAAAATTTGATATAGAGTTTGAAAAAGAGAATAAAATTAATTTCTTAGATATAACAATAAAAAATGAAAATAATAAATTCTCGTTTAAAACTTACAAAAAACCATCCAACATAAATAAAACAATAAACTACCACTTTTGTATACCAGATACCGTAAAAAAGAATACATACATAATGGAGTTAAAAATATATATACAGAAGAACGACCAACGACAAGGACCGTAAAATTGAATTAAATGAATTAGAAAAAAAATTCATTATAAACAACTACCCCAAGAAAACTTTAAAAATTTGGAAAACACAATATGATAAAAATAGATTTAATATAAAAAATAAAAAAGACAAAACATATATAGCCTTTTCGTACATCCCTAATATTTACGATAATTGTAACAAAATGCTTAAAAAAGAGAATGTAGTTTTGGCCCCAACTTTGACCAACAAAATTTCACAGAAAATACACATTAATAAACCAAAAAAACATACAAAACTAATAGTGATATATTGAAAAAGACAGGCGTTATCTATAAAATAAACTGTAATTGCCAAAATCCAAAAAAACTATATAGGCGAAACAGGTCGAACTTTAGAAACACGGATCAAAGAACATGAAGCGGCCATTAGACTAAAATATAACAACTCCCCTTGGTACAACCATATTAAAAATAGTAATTGTAATATTTATAGAAATAATATTAAAATCCTACACAGTGAGAAAAATATATATATAAAAGAAAATTTAAAGAACACATTGAAATTATAAAACATAATAAAAATAATCTTGTTAATATATTTAATGGGATGCAAATTGAAAAACAATGGTATGAAATTATAAAGGGCGTAACAATAAACGAGTAAATTATTAGTAAAAATATAAACACCAAGTGTTATAAGAGTGTCCAAGTTATTGTGTATGAATTAATATAGAAGAATTTATACGATACATAACTAGTGTTTAATAGAATATATAGTTTTTTTAAATGATATTGGAAAGAAAAAACCTGTATATACAGTATATTTTCTGTAAAAAAATTTTAAAACTTAATTACTGTGTTTATAATTCAACTTTTATTTTTTAGCAATATTTACATTATATTAAGTTTTACACACATAATTACCGTTATGGGGGAAAAAATTTTCAAACATAAATAATTAAAAAAAAAGGAAAAAAACCTGTATGTATTTTTAAAATAGATTTTATATTTATTCATTATTTTATAAATATGTTTTATGATTATATTACTATTATTTATAGAAATGGTTTAAACATATTACGTTTTATACCAAGAAAGATAATTTCATATGATTAATACAAGTACCGTATGAATGTAACTCGGGAAAAAAGAAGTGTGTAAAATTCTCAAAGGAACTAGTAATAAGTGTTCCGTTATGTTATTTGACATCTCTACGATGTTTCATTTTTTGTATTTTTGTAAACACAATATCTGTAATTATAATTCTGTAATTGTAATTGTAGAGCACTGAAGAGGAACTGGAAAATGAAACCAGTTCGAAATGCATATGAATTGAAAATACAATAAAAGAGTTTCTGGACCTGACTTACTGTAAGATAGTCTACCGAGAGAAACATTTTCGGATTAAAGAGACAACCATTCACTGATTGCGTGAGCAAGTCATAACATCACTCACATATCAGGTATCAGGATCACGGCGGATCGCATCTTCCAACTGAGCTCCTATTGTAGACTCGAGACTTTTAGGTAACCCATAAATTCACAGGTGTCAAATACGGAGACAGCAGAGAATATGCATTTTCGCAGGAACAGGTAATCAGTCGTTCTTAACCAAATGTGTTTATTAGAAATTGCTTTATAGAAGATGCTACTTGAGGGATGTTCCGTCTTACATGAACGTAATTGTGTTTAGAAGATTCTGTGTATGCAATCATTCTCCAACGTAATCTTCAAACATTTTGAGGTATTTACTTGATCAAACGATACAGTGTTTTCTATCGTTGAGAATCATAACTAAAAAGGTTTCTTATGCCAGAAAATTTGCCTCCATGACAAGCCTTTAATATAAACTACACTGTAATACGCCAATTTGTCGATTTTATAATAACTTTTAGAAAAATCTACGAACTTTTATGACAAACCTTACTACTTTTTATTTAATTAAAGATATTAATTACTTTTTAAATACTGTATTATATGTATTTAATACATAAAATATCGGATACAAACATTCATTTAATATTATTTTCTCTAAAGGACTATTTACTAAAAATTGCATATTTTAAGATTGTGATTAAGTACTCTTGCCACACTCAATACCTACTGTGTTTTCCTAATAATAAAAGCTATTATTAATAGGAATTTCAAGAGTAAATTTGAACTCTGCTGCATAAACTAATGCTCTCCACTTCAAATAAGTAGTGTCCTGCCCTTGTGCATCATATAATTCTTTTCCGTTAGTAATAGAGTCGTATCGATCATCTATCTAATTCCTTTCAGGGAAATTACTTAAATTTGATAGGGAAATTACTTAAATGAAAGTTTGAAAGGATAATTACTTAAATGAAAATAGAATTTGATGAGGGAAGTTTCATAAAGAAGGAGGAAAAGTCCACTTTCTATCAGCTTTACGCTTTACCAGAGAACAATTTTTATAAAAAATGAAATAAATTAAAATTATTTTTGAGTTGTGTGACTAGTTTAGTCATTACAGTAGCCAAATTAAAATCCTGTTTATATATTCAAAGGTAAAACGTTAAATAATATAATTAATGTCCCATTGTTTAAATATAAATATAAAGACGTTTCAGTGTTTTATAATAACTATTTTATTAATAATCTACGTCCCGTAGAACAACGTTTCGATTCTATAGTTGCTTCCATTTCATTTAGAAAATTTGCTGCTTTATGAAGACAAATGAGAATTTCCAGCATAAGTGAATATAACGCAAGTAACTGATATTTTTTTCTTTATTATTTTTTAATCTTTCCTCTCACGGACTTCTATTTTTAGTTTTCCGTATATAATATATAACAGAGGGAAAGTATGGCAATCGATCAAAAAGTGACCCCTAATAATTTTACATTTCTGGGTTCTGGGATCTTGAAATGCAAAAGAATTCGGAGGTAATTTCTGTACGTACGAATGTAATTGTGTGTGTGGGGGCAGACACAATTTTGTTCGCCTGTTTGAAGCTTAATAACTTCTGTGCCTTTTGCAAAAAAGGTATGTATATTAGAGGGATTGATACTATTAAATTTTGGTGGATAGATTAGTGTACTAACAATGGTCGTGTTCGTGTCTTGAAACCTCATAATAAACCCCCCATTAAACTATTTTCCTGAATGCAAAACATATTTATTTTTTTTTTCCGTTAATGTTCATAAAAGATAAACAATAGTTCAAATTTAATTACTAATTTTAGTCACGACAGGATTAATAGAACTTAACTTGTAAATGTAAGAACGTAGAAATGACATTAAAGTATACGTAATTATTTAATTTACTTTATTAATGATTATATAATAAGGGGGTTATCTGATTCGCTATTATAATGCTATATTATTAATGTATATCTAATTACAGATAACTCATAGTGATTTTTCCAACTAACATCATTAAACATGCAGTGTGACAAAGAGAAATTTTATGCAGTTAATCGATATTTATCTTCAAGTTTTCGTCACTTTGGACGGCTGATTGGACGTCATCCATTGTATTCTGTAATAACACCATTCCTGTTCACTGCTCTAGCTTCTTTGGGTTTATTGAGGGTGCAAATTGTTAAAGATTCGGAATATTTATTTGTTCCATCAAACGGAAGAACGTTGAAAATCAGATCAGAAATTGAAAAGTTCTTTCCGGAAAATGCTACAGATTTTGATCTTTCACGAGTAACAATGTATAAAGGAATGAACGGTATTATAGCGACGTGTAAAGATGGAGGAACAATGATGCGTGAATACGTATTTGATGAATTACAAATGCTAAACAAAAAGATTCTCGACATAAAAATAACATGGAAAGGACAAAACATAACGTATTCCGATATCTGTATGAAATCGGAAGGAGAGTGTTATCAAAATAGTTTATTATCTTTAAAAACTAAATTTGAAGATGTCAGAAGAAAAAAGCTGAAAATTAAGTAAGTATTTTCTTTCATATTTTATTTTTTGTTGTTTTATTAATTTTATATTTCAGTTTTATTATGCAACTGTTTCCAGTAGATCCCATATAACACGATAGATACGTTCCGTTTTATATGAATTCCGTGTTTTACGAGGCACGTAAATACATGAACCAATCACAGCCCGGCACGTGTGCAGTTTAGGGGCTACATCTGTTTGAAAGGTTTTCTTTCATAAAATTAATCGATTCTAGACTAATTTGACTCAACATTTCCAAAACACGTAGAGGAGAAGGTGGTATTATGGAACCCCATTTTCATTATAGTGAATTGTAAACAAGGTATCATAACTACACCCACATTTTTTGTTCGAAAAGTACTAGTAACTATTAAACTAAATGTTCCTAATTGGATTTTTCGCTAGTGTAACTATAAGTATGGCTTTTGAAGGCTTTTGTACAAAAAGTCAGAAAGTAGGCTTAAGGAAAATCGGGTAGTAATATGGAACCTTACTGTGTGTTTTCAAAAAATACTTTAATGTATCCAAAAACAAATAGGAAAGTACAAAGAATGTTTAATAATTACAAAATTATTTACTCCAATGTGTTTTATCGCAAAAATGATTTAATAATAATAATAATAATAATAATAATAATAATAAACAAATGTACAAAGAAGAAGCTAATCATTTACAAAAATCACAAATATAATGCTCTTATAGTATTAGATATCTATTTTTACTTTTTTCATTTTCCTTCTATTTTTTCATTCATCTACCACATACTTTTACAAAAGTTAGACGGGTTCCATATTAAAATCACCAATGGGGCCCATATTTCACGCATCGCCATCTTGAATTAACTTATGTCTGTCAAGAACAAATTTAAAAAAATGTGAACATCACACAGATTAATATGTACCCCTAAGTCTCTGGAACGGAATACATGCACCAGTGAACCTACAACTGCACGATTTATATTTTAAAAATAATTAAATTCACTTGGCATTCAAAACTTTCGAATTTCGAATAACACAAATATGCTAATTCACTACGGACAACCGTTTAACTGAAGTGAAACGGGTTTTCCCCTTTCTATAGATGTCTCTGCCTAGTTCAGTTCAGCCACAATCCGCTACAGTTCGCCTTTATTATCAGTTTGAAATGGAGAGGTTCCATAATACCTGCAGGGTTCCATAATACCACCTTCTCCCTATATAATTTTTTTGGGAATAATCCATATAAACTATGCTATAAACAAAAAATTGCAGGATTACTTACCGAGTGTGCACCGTTCAACGACGTCATTGCTTAAGCTTGTTTTCTTCGCGAGCGGCGCATCGAACGGCGGGCGCGTGTTTTCTGATAAGTTATTTTTCTGCGAAAAATTTGCTGAACTTTGAAGACATCATTAATATAAATATAATTTTTATGGCCGTTAAATAATAAATGGTTTCTAGTAGGTCTTCTGCTCGTTTAAACTCAACGGTTTGTGCAATATCCGCTATTGGTCTAGATTCGACCAATCCTGCCGCGACACGAGTCTGCGAGGACGTTTTACCGTATTATACGAGTATCTTTTAGCGTGTTTATACGAATACGATCGCAATTTTTTCGCCGTGTTATACGAATCCATATTATATGAACCCGTGTTATAGGGGGTCTACTATATATGAATAAGAGAGATACTCCACTGCGATTGACACAATAATCAAGCAATTTTATACGTACTGTACATAATGCCTTTGACTGTGACTTCTATGAAGAAAAATGGACTATTCCTAGAGGCGAAGTGTGGAACCTGCGGTGTGAGAGACTATTCAAATAAAAACTTATAGACAGAACACAGATATACTGTACACCCATATAATGACGATATATTCCATACGTTTTCAAAAATAAAAACAAAAATGAGGAAAGGATTACAAAATGTAGAGTTTTCTTTTTGAAAATCCTACATTTCATAATTTTCATTTGAACGTGTCTATTAAAACAGATGTTTTTAGTCAGAGTCTGATCTTAGATTGGAAAAAGTTAACTCATTATAGTTATTTTCCCTAACATCTTAATGAAATGTAACATTTCTAAGTGGTAAAAACGTTTTTACAAACTAAACTAACTGGAAAGAAAAACTTCATTCTCTTTGCACTGATGGAGTTCCTCCAATGTTTGGTAAAACATCTAGTTTCGCTGCTTTAATGAATAAAGAAGCTCTTCATGTGGTCCTCATTCATCACTTTTTATACATATGCACTGGCAAGAAAGACCCTTCCAAATAATACTCTAAAAACAATTACTTATATTGAAATCATCTGTCTGTATTAATCTCAAACTTATAACGTCGATGCTAGAAAACTCACAGATAATCAAGATTATGTACAATTATTTGTCGAAAATCGCAGATAGATGTTAGTAATATTAGTACAATTTAGTCAGAATAAAATAAAAACATTTTTTTAACAGGCTACAACTATTTGCACAGATTAACAGCCTATTTTTAAAACAGGTATCCGATGGAGATAAATTCATCGCACATTAATGTAGATGCTATCAATTTAGGAGGAGTTTCAACTGACGAAAACAGTTTTATAACAGATTTCCAAGCATTTCGTTTACTCTATTTCGTCGATTATCATAATTCCAGCAAACAGGAAATTGCTCATAAATGGGAAGAAGAATTTCTGAAAACAGTTTCTCAAAATTCTTTCGTTCACATCCGCGTATCAAAAATAAGTGGAATTAGTATCGATAATGAAATTAATAATGTATTCGTAAATATTGTATGGCATATTATTATTAGTGGAGCATTTATGATAACATTTGCAAGTGTAACTTGTCTGACGAAGGACTGGGTGACGAGTAAACCGCTGATTGGTGTTTCCGGATGTGTCTCATCTTTCTTTGCTGTGATAACTGCCTTTGGTATTTTACTACTCTGTGGCATGAATTACATCGAAGCAAATTTGGTTGTTCCTTTTATAGTTGTAGGTTGGTATATAAAATATATTTTTCAAAATAAATACATTATTTAATATAAATCAAAACTCTCAATTGGTTGAATATATTCTACAGGTATCGGACTGGATGACTCATTTGTTCTGTTAGCGGCTTGGAGAAAAACGAATCCCAAAGATTCTGTTGAAAAGAGAATGAGTGAAACGTACTCCGAGGCTACCATATCGATTACCGTAACATCCTTGACTAACGTTGCGTGTTCGTTAATAGCGTTAACAACTCCCATCAGAACTCTCCAAATTGCTGGAAGTTACATGGCTTTAAGTATTTTCATAGATTACATCTATCAAGTTACATTCTTCGGCGGACTTCTTGCACTGGATGGTTATAGAGAAGCCAAGAACTTGCATGCAATACTCCTCGTTCCTGTTAAACTGGATGAACGACCATCAGGTAACATAACATAAAGTTAATCGTTAAATATTCAGTTAACTTTCGTATAAAGATTGATATTTTACGTTTATGTTTATCGTTATAATGTTTCCTAAAATTATTCTCAACCACATTCAAGACTTTTTTGAAATTTGAAGTTAGTTTATTTATTTGAATTAAGGTAAATCCATTCTTTTTGTTATAAAAATACTAAAAAATGAAAAATAGTGTTTAATCAAAGAAACAACTAAAGTTTGTAACTAATTGAAATAATGAAATCTTTATTCTGAGATATCTTTTAATGACAAAAATTCATTTAATTAATTAATTAAAGACAAAAATCTTATGGGTTATGAGTTATGAGTCTTACCAAACTGCAGTGAAGCTGAGTAATCGAGATCACACCAAAAAAATAAGACTTTTATTTGTGTAATGTATTATGATCTTCACTAAACTTTTCTCAGCTTCAATTATATAAAAACAGATATATACAACAGTTGTAAAATACTTATATTAAACATTTAGATATATTTTATTAAAACAGATAAAAAATTTTATATTATTTCTGTATTTTTCTTTTAGGTATTCTGGGATTTATAAAGTACGGCTGTTATTCAAGCAAACTTAATGAAAATAACACAGCAATGACTTGTTATAAAAAACATTTAGGAAAGATTTTGACTTTTCCAATTGTGAAAGCAGCAATTATTATTATTTTTCTCTTGTATCTCGCTGGAGGAATCTACTTTACTAAATATATACAGCCTTCTACAGGTATCAAAACGGCATATAACGACAATTCTTACATGTTAAACTTCTTTAGCGATGAAAATACGTTCTATTCGCAATATCGAGATAGAGTCCAGATAATTGTTACATCATCATTGGACTACTCCAATCCAAACATCCAGAATAATCTAGAGAAATTAACGACAGAACTGGAGAATTCTCCTCATATGGCCGGAAGTAATTTCACGGAATCGTGGCTGAGACTATATCTGAAATCCATTAAAAATCCACAGTTTTGGATTTCTCTCAGAGGATACAATTTGAGTCGACCCGAAGACTTCACCGATGCTTTACGCAAAGTATTTCTTAAATTCAAGTGGGCCAAACGCTTTAACGAAGACATTGTATTCAGTGACGATGGCACTAAAATATTAGCTTCCAGATTTTTCATTCAAGCAAAATTAGTTGATAATTCGCTGAAAGAAAATGAAATTTTTATCAATCTGTGGAATATAATAGATAAATATAATCTCCCGGTATATTGTTACAATTATCGATATATACCCTTTGATTATATCCTTATGGCAGTTCCCACAGCAACTCAATCAATAGCCGTTAGTTCTTGCGTGGTAATTTTGATATTTCTCATTTTCATACCAAACGTGTTTTGTGCATTTTGTATTGCTCTCACAATAGCTTGTATTGAAGTAGTAACTATAGGATATATGTCCGTATGGGGTGTTACATTCCATCCATTTGGGACAATTTTTTTAATAGTGATCACCGGATTTTGTACAGATTATGCAGCTCATATATCGTACGCGTATGCAAAGAGTAAAGGAAAGAATCCGAATGAAAANTTAGGATAAGCTAATCTTCGTAATAAAATACATAATGCATCAATTCCAAATGAACGTGATCCATTTTCACAAATGATTACAGATGGAAGGCGTAAAGCAGAATGGAGGTGAAACAAATCGTCTCTTGAAAATCTGTTAAAATTAAAAATTTTATAAGTATTCTTCCTTTTTTAAGTATTTGCTTTAATTTATAAATATATCACTTACCGAAAGTGAAACAAGCAATCAGAATCAGTCATTTGATTTAAATTTATTCGTGCTTTTGTCACAGGTATGTCTTTACAGATATGAGATAATATAATGGCTTCTTCATCTCTTTCAAACATATCCAACAGTAGTAATACCTCATCACTAGACTACAAATATAATTTTAATTAAATGCTTAATGTACAAAAAAAAAGTGAACACAGCCTTTGAGTTTCTGTGGTCACTTCACATTACATTAAAAATATTAACCCTTTATTGCCTAACGGGACTTTCTAGTCCCACTATCTTTGATATTTTTTATTTCATAGTGTATGCATTATAGCTATTTGGGACTTACATTTTATCATTGCATAAAGTGTTCTTTTTCTCTTCTATAGGGTAGTAACTTTCAAACTGTTCCTGTTTTAGTTTTGTTGAAAAAAGTTACACATCGTGTGTTGTTTGCATGGTAGTAGCTGATATTGCTTTCTTTGTTGCCAAATTCTACTTATTGTTTTCAAGTTAAATGTATTTTTTAATATGTATTCTAGATATGTGTAGTTTGATTTTAATGTATTATGTTTGTAGAATTAATTGTATGCAAGCTGTATGAGATCAAAATATGTTTGGGACTTATGAGTCCCATCAGGCATAAGGGAATTTTNAATATAAATCAAAACTCTCAATTGGTTGAATATATTCTACAGGTATCGGACTGGATGACTCATTTGTTCTGTTAGCGGCTTGGAGAAAAACGAATCCCAAAGATTCTGTTGAAAAGAGAATGAGTGAAACGTACTCCGAGGCTACCATATCGATTACCGTAACATCCTTGACTAACGTTGCGTGTTCGTTAATAGCGTTAACAACTCCCATCAGAACTCTCCAAATTGCTGGAAGTTACATGGCTTTAAGTATTTTCATAGATTACATCTATCAAGTTACATTCTTCGGCGGACTTCTTGCACTGGATGGTTATAGAGAAGCCAAGAACTTGCATGCAATACTCCTCGTTCCTGTTAAACTGGATGAACGACCATCAGGTAACATAACATAAAGTTAATCGTTAAATATTCAGTTAACTTTCGTATAAAGATTGATATTTTACGTTTATGTTTATCGTTATAATGTTTCCTAAAATTATTCTCAACCACATTCAAGACTTTTTTGAAATTTGAAGTTAGTTTATTTATTTGAATTAAGGTAAATCCATTCTTTTTGTTATAAAAATACTAAAAAATGAAAAATAGTGTTTAATCAAAGAAACAACTAAAGTTTGTAACTAATTGAAATAATGAAATCTTTATTCTGAGATATCTTTTAATGACAAAAATTCATTTAATTAATTAATTAAAGACAAAAATCTTATGGGTTATGAGTTATGAGTCTTACCAAACTGCAGTGAAGCTGAGTAATCGAGATCACACCAAAAAAATAAGACTTTTATTTGTGTAATGTATTATGATCTTCACTAAACTTTTCTCAGCTTCAATTATATAAAAACAGATATATACAACAGTTGTAAAATACTTATATTAAACATTTAGATATATTTTATTAAAACAGATAAAAAATTTTATATTATTTCTGTATTTTTCTTTTAGGTATTCTGGNTGTGTGCATGTGTTACTTAAGCATATGAAGGAGTATAGTGTAGTATTAACTCACTCACTCAAAAACAGTTATTAGGAACTAAAAACATATATATATAAAACAATTATTCTCCGGGAAGGATAAATGCGCGCATATTTTCAGTGATGAAAACTTTAAAACATAGACTAGCAGGTAGGCCCGGCGTTGCTCGGGCAAAAATAACGATAGCGAAGATTAAGATTATTATGTTATAGTCAACCTTACCCGTTTTCAAAGAATGCAAGAATTAGGTCCCCCTGTTTCCAGACTAATTAGAAAATTGTTAGATGGGTCTAAAAATATGTTTCGCAAAAACGAAAAACACTGCATCTGCGTCTTGCACGTCGCTTTCTCTTAACAATTCCGTTGTTACGTAACACTTCCATTCTTACTTGACACTTCCATTGTTGATGGAAGTGTTAAGCCTTAATCCTGTCTCTCTCCCCCGTGGGGAGGTCCTTCGAAAAATCCTTTCTTAGTGCGCGTTCCCGTGACGTACCCAAACTGTGTACCAAATTTCAACTTTCAACTCCTAACCGTTTGGGCTCTGCGTTTATTATTATTATGTTGTGATTAGTGGGTTATACTTGGTTCACACCGGTGGCTGTGTACTATGCCGGACCAGAGTCAAGGCATAGCAACCAAGAACAAAAATTAAATAAGTGTGTCAGTGTCTGTGTCTGTATTCAGGAATTTCCTAACAATATGGCATGTATTCAATATAATGGCCTTCTTAGTGTGATGTATGTATTTCTTTTCAATTGTAATGTTCCCAGGCTTTTGTGTAGTGTGTATGGTATCACACCTGTACAGGAGAGAACGACAGGTACAGTACAATAAGCACCCTATCCATCCTCCACAGATGCCTTATTTCCTGGGCGAGTTCTGTGTACTTGCTAATTTTTTCAGTGCATGTGTTTTGTATATTGTGAGTGTTTGGAATGGCTATGTCTATAATGTATGTGATTTTATTGTGTTTGTCAATGAGTGTTGTGGTGAATTGTTTTATTTGTAATTACGGTTCTGTCGNAAAAAAATTATTCGAAAAAAAATCTCCAAATTTATAGAATCGAATGCGATATACATTAAATATCAGATAAAATATATTTGAATGAAAAATGATGCGGTTTTTCTAATGATTATTGATTGAAAAAAACTAAAAACAAGAGCTTTTATGGAAATATTTTTAGTTGTTTGTAAGGTTACAGCAAATGTGAGAGCAACTAATTGTGATTCAAAAATGTATCTCAAAACTTTGAAAACAGTAATTATTACGACTGTTTAATAATTTATTAGTACTGATTTTTCATTTTCCAGTTTTCATATACTGTTACTGTATTTACAGTATTTTTTTAAAAAGATAAATATATCAGATCAATTAAATAAAGACGGAAAAGAAGCCACGTGTTTGATTAATAACACGATCTTGTGTTTAATACTCTCAAAAGATAAATATAAATTATAATTTTATCGAAACTGATTTTGGAAGATTATAATCTGTTTTTTTATCGATCTACCAGTAGCCGAACGGATAAAACCACTAAACGATGGTAATTGGTGGTGGGTTCGCACCTCGCCAACAAGCCGATCACGTGAAATTCTCCGGCCTTTCTAGTAACACCTAAATTGGGGCCAGTTTTTCCTAGAAAGTCTACCTTCGACAGATCTCTCACGTGACGTGTTGCCGTATACAATACACCAAACCTGGTCTGTTTTTTTTATCAGTAATTTAAAAATATATTATAAAAAACGCGATGAATACCTTAACTTCATCGCTTCAATATTTATGTGATAACAATGACGTTAAAGGATGAGAATTAATACAATCATTCTTGGTATTTCGTAATGTTTTAAACGGAATTTACATCTGTTCAAATATTATTATGTAAGTAAAATTGTAATCAATGAATACAGCCGGAGTATGAAAGACAAACTCAACATCCTCCAAAATTTAAACACAAAGTTCCGAATCGTACGTAAATAGAATTAAATAGGATTCTAATGCAAAAGATTGTTTGGTTCTATCTACTTCCGTTTCTGAGACTTTTCGGAAAAAAAGGTTTTCCTACAGAAATTACATTAAAATTTTAACGCTATCTTCTGGATAATACTCATATAACCAAACGGGTTGACGGCCAGATGGCCGAGCGGATAAGGCGGCAGCCTGCCGCAATGGGAGATTCTGGATTGATGGAAAAACCCCGGTAATTTTTCGGAGATAATAGGTCCGGATTTACCTGCAAAGCATATGCGAAGCAGGTTAATTAAAAGAGGAGTACCTCAAGCCAGTAGCATTTAATGCTACAGGTCAGAGGGAGTGCTCCACTAAATGTAAAAAAAAAAAAATAGGTCCGGATATATTTGCCCCGTTTCTCATTGTCCGGCCGAACCTACGAGCTCGCTAAATAAAAAAAAAAACTCTTAGTGCCTACAGGGCGAAAATAATTAAAACCAAGAAGTTAGAATCAGCCTTAAGAAAAATTACATTTAAAGTAATCATTTAGCAGTCTGTCACCTTGAAGATTCTGATAAAATTGCATTTATCTGTATAAAAAGATAAAATACTAAAAACTTCCTCCCTTCTATCCTATAAAGTCAATGATAAAAACAATTATTAATAAACATTGTTTCATCGTGGAACATTTTTGTTACTGAAATAAGTTTATATTTAAATTTCTTTATTGTGAAAATATATTTTATACAATTAATTATTTATTATGACGTCACAATACCGAGCTGCAATTTTTAATCATATTTTTAATTTATTTAATTTAAAAGAAATGCTCTCCACCTGAAATTAATACTGTAGTGTCCTGCCCCTGTACATCCCAGTTTTCCTTTAACCACGCAGTCGTGCCCATCATCTATTAACTGCTTTCGGGGGAAATTTTTGAATCGAATAACGCAATTTCCGGTATGCATTAGACGTTCGTA